GAAACAAGTGACATTTTTCGGCATGCTACATCAACAAGTTACTGAATAGCTTTGCATATCGGCACAGAGTAAAGGAAAAGCAACATTTTGGGAGAAGGTTCAGCGTTCAAAGAGGAACAGATGCTGCGAAATACAGGAATTGATGCCTCATGGGCACAGCATTGGAATGATAATAATGCATTGGACGTAGCAAATCACAGTCCTTCCGGAAATAAAAACTGATTGAAATAACGGTGACAGCAATCGTAAAACTAAACTATCATATTTTGAGAAACAGGTGCATCCGTTTTAGCCCAATCAGTGAAAAGGACAAGTACCTCTGTACCCAGAAGAGCATTTATAAGGCAAAACAGATCGAGTAATTGCGCATTATGACCTGTACAATTCGTTTGTTCGGTGTTAGATCTAATGAGTATGATGAAGAATCAAAGCGGGGCTGAAATGTTTACTTTCTCGAAAAGTTAATAATGTGACATTGCTCGATAACATTTAGAACACCACAACTTCAGACACCTTATGAGATCGTGTTTCTTCTTCAGAACTATACATCACAATAACGATTATTTGGACGAGTAATGACTGAAAATTTGCAAGAAGAATCGTTTTGGCAAAACAAAAGAAGATCGCGGGGGGACTTGGTTCAGCTTTAAAAAACAACTGCCGTTATCGCACATTCGAATTCAACACATGGAGCACACTTACTTTATCGAGGCCTGAACCATAGGAAAGATGTTCCTGCTGCCGAAAGGAACAGCAAGCATTAACCAGAAAACCATCTCAAGTTGTGCACGAAATACAATCATTCCAACCTCCCCTGCACACCACTTTCCTTCGTTGCAGCAATGTCTAAAACTTCTGTCCAGATAAACGGTACGCATGTGACAAAGCTAACTACTGTTGGTCAATGCCTGACGACATGTGCGTAACAACCGATATCATCAGTAACTAATATCTGATATTGCGGCTCCACAGACCACTGCCGTTTTATGCTACCACCATTATCTTGCTTTCTCCGAAAAATTGAAATTGTAGAAGGCATAGAGACAACGATGTTTATTACCTTCCTTCATTGATTTATTCCGGAGAGTTTCTTACCTTTCCAACTCATCATATATTCAGTGTCATGCAATCATCAACTGCTACAATGCAACCGGATAATTGTAAGTGTCAGCTACTGTTAGCTGAAAAAGAGGCATCTCACATTTAGGACTCCATCTAAGCAATAGTAAAATTACACCAACTTTCAACTTAAAGAAATTAACGATTAAATGAAAAATTTTGGCAACGCGTGATGTGAACCAGCAATTCTACAAGTAGAATGAAACAACTTTCAAATAAATACTGCTGCTTCGTACGCTGTCTCTTAGTCAACTTTCTCTCAATGCTCTCACCACTAAAATTTTCTTCTTTTCAATTTACAACAAGAAGAAACACTTATAAAATAACCCGCGGCATGACACATGACATACAAGAATAAACAAAACAGTTGTGCTGTAAACCAATGATCAGTAGCTTATTGTGTTATTCAAATAAAACAATAAACTGTTTAATTTAAACTTCTTGTGAAGCACACTGAGACACAATATACACCGGCGATGAGTCGATCCCTTTTCAGTCAGGTAAATCTTCAGAAAACACCTCAAACGTCTTTCGAAGTTTAAGCAACGTGTTGTTTAGGTGTTCCTCGGTTTCGTGCATTTTCCTTAGATGCCAAACCTGGCGGCTTGAGAAAGTGTCTCTGAAAAACGAAAGGCCACTGATGAATAAAAAATTCAAATAAAAAACTACTGCAAGCGTAGAGAGCAATCCGGTGGAGGAATGAACAAACTAATGTTTTTTTCAGGATGATGGTAAAATGGCATCTTTCTGCTTGTACTCCATGAGCGAATCCAAGGATCTAAAAAGCAAGTTGTTTATTAATAGTTTGATATTATATCTACCACCTAGTACAGCAGACGCTAGGTAGACAGTCATTCGACATCGCAAGGAAATGTTCGATTTTAAAACTCTTATCTCTTATGAGCCTGATGGAAAGAATATAACAGAAATTCCGAGATAAGTCTGTTCTCCTAACCAAAGAAGCATATTTTAACCATGTCGTCATGCTGTTTGCCCTCTGAACCGAGAAGGACGACTTACACACATGGGTGGAACAGAGAGACGACGTTAGATGAACAGTATAAGGCAATGAAGGGGTGAGAAGCATTTTCAAGTCTTTCACAGTTTCTGACGGCTAAGATCTGAGGAATCCGCAAGAAAAGCATTGCAAAACTTGTGAAATCGTATCTTCATCCGTTTGAATATTAGGTGATATTTGTATTAGTCGGAAAACCTCTTATGTCTTAGTCGGAAAACCAAAAATGACATGAAAATGTATACCACGCTGTTTAAGCTCCGTAAGACTATGAAGATAACGTGTACAGCCATTGCGCTATATATATTTGAACAGTAAGATAGAAAAATCCTTAAGCCGGGTAGGATAGCTCTCTCTCAACTGCTCGATTGCGCCATGAATTTTCTTGATGAGGCGATGAGCAACTAATATGAAACGTACATACATACGGGAGTGAAATCTTGCACCTTCAGCCGTGAAAGGAAAAATACCGGATAGACACAAGGACTGTTTATTCTAGCAGTAATGTGCAGTACAGAGAATGCTATGATACGACACCATGCTAGCATGCGAGTTGTGTACGTACGTCATGAACGTGCAGGAGCTTCTACTTCAGGGAGTGAACCTAAAGAACCTTTAGTATATGTTATCAATCAGAGTTCAGTTTGTGTCTTATCAAATTTACATTCTCTTCGTTGACTCATGAAAATTTCCAGACAAGAAAACAGAATTGGGATCCCGCCCAAGACCTCAGAACAGGCTGGTGGACTATCTCGTCACAATAACTATCTTATACGATAGAATGTATATACGATCATAAAATAACTTTATCGACTTCAAAGTTGCGTTTGACAAATGACATCGTCTCACGGTGTGGAAGCTCATGCAGCATTACTTATTGTCGTCAGGGTGACGAGACAGAGCGCTGACAATCCCAATGGAGAAGGACTGACGGTAAGCTGAAGGAGGAGCCCAAAGAAACCTGCCATACGACTCAGCGATTTCAGTGGTAGATCACGGCTACGAGCAGAGGCGGCTGAAACCTTCGATGAAAGAACAAGCCTTAGACTCAATGGAGAACAGCGAACTAAGTAACACTAACTAGAACGAAATCACGGGACTTTTCATCATTGCTCCAGGAACGAAAAATTCCCTGACGTGTTAATAGCATGTACAAGGGCAAAACATAAGTATCCTACCATGAGGTCCAAATGATGAACCCCAATGATCCAGCTTTCAATATCGAATTTGAAAAAATCTACGAGACTTGCAGTCGTTTTGGAGCATGTTCTTCTCAGATGTAATAGGACATGCTTAAAATTATGACTACGGCTGTTGTCCTGTGGCCGCGATTACAATGAGCATTTCTGCGTTATATGCTTGAGCTTAATTTACGATGACACACAATCACACAACACTTATATTACAGGAATTAATTAAAAGAATTCCTTAATCGATCCTTATCCTCAGCATAGGCTTATGACATGAAATACTGCTAATAATACCAATCATAGACATGAGCTTAAACGGTAATAAACACGTAATTTATAGTTTTATCCCCCAAACAATAGAAATAGTGTTATGCATTATAGAAGAGCAGACGTATGAAGCATGACTAGCAATATTTTGCCAGGTTTTATACAATAATCGTGGTATTAACGATATTAATTTAGAGACGTTCAGTTCCTAAAGCCATTCCGTCAGTTCTGTGATCAGAATCATTCAATATCACAACAGCTATAAGATACCTTTCAGAATCTGAAAAGAAATGAGGTAATCAACAATGATGTATCCATTGTTTGGGTAGTTGTCCATAACGATCACATGCTGACCATGCATTTTTTCTACACGAAATCTAAACGCACACACGCTGAAACCGCAAAAGTAACGAGTGCGAGACAATTTCAGTCTACCGAGAAAGAGACTGAAACACTTGAGCGTAATCCATCGTTTCAGCTGTGACCACCATCGCCAGGTCAGAACGACTGTGCTGTTTGCTTATGCTGTTGCAGAATAATTTTGCCCGATGCATCCTGAATCAATTTTAAACAAGCAAGCATAAAATTAAAATAAAAGAAAATAAAAATATTACCTTTCCATATACGGCAATGTACTGACATTTAGCCCTCCCAAGCAAAAGCAGTCAAGTATCCGCAAAATCTTACGCTGCTGTTTGGTTTTGCCCTAATAAAAAAAATATAAATATCTGACGACGAACATCACATTTTTTCTTTTGTGCTAATTATATCTTAATATAACTTGACTGACAAAGACTGACAGATTAACAGAGAACGAGCAAGACATTAATAAGACTGATAAAACTTCCATATATTATTTGAATTTTTTATGCGAGTGTAACATTCTTAATTTCAAAGATCCCTTCAGATTTATTTCTTATGCAAGTACTGTAGAACATGTTCTCTGGGTACTGCAACGAACCTGATGAATCTTCA